AGTACATATCCCACGTGGGGTACGCGGTTGCCTACGTGGGCGCTGTGATTGGCCACCACCCGTTGCTACTACTCCACGTGGGTTTTCTGCTATTGACTCGCGAACGGTAATGATGTGTCCTGTAACGGCAAGGTTCGCTGTGGCGTCGACGCAGGATCCTCTCCCTTTTTACGTTATGCATGTTTCCTGGATATTATTCCATAATGGGCGAAACCGGAGCAGACGCGTCGGCTAGGAGGCGGCTCGCGCAGCGCGCAGCTCGCAGCGCCGCCGCCGGCGCCGACCAGCCCACGGATGCGGTAGTGTGGTTTGAAATCAATAGGTGGCGCTGTAGAGCGTAAATGGGCGTATAAAACGTTATTGATTGCAGTGGGCAAGTAAACGTGTTGGGCAAATCGGTTAGCTGTTGAGCGGGTGCGGCGCGCGGCGGCGGCGCGCGGTCGACAGACGCGCGCGAGCTGCCGGCACGTGCGAGTGCGGCGCGGCGGCGGCGGCGGCGAAGTTGGCGCACGCCGAGCGCGGCGGGCGGCCGGGTGCGGAGAGTGGTGCACGTGGGATGCGGGCCGGTGGAGCATGTTTCCAGGCATGAACCCAGCGGCTGCGGCGGCGGCGGCGGCGCGGCATACGGTGAGTTGGGGAAACGCGTGAAACTGCTTGTGATGGCGTTCGGGAGACGGACAGGCGTGGTGAAAGGTGGTGAATATTGGGGCGCCGGTGACTTGTGAATGTCCGCTGTGTGTTGCTGCGTGAGTTTTGTTAGGACGTTTGTGGAGAATATGAGATGTTGGTGCTTCGTTGCAAATTTCTAATGATGGCTACTTCTAGTTCAAGGCTTGATTGTCATTGGAGCTGCTTTGTTTCAATATAGCGGGTGGTTTGGAGCAGTTTGAGCGCCATAGATGAATTGTTAATTATGTGCAATTATCTTACCGAGTTAACATCAAAGTCAAAGCCGTGCTCTACGAAACAATCAGCATTTCCTTGGTGGGAGACCCTAGCATCAATGCGCTGGATGTCGATCTGAGGTCAGTTGCGGTATCGCGAACTCTGAGCTCCTCAGATTTATTTCTACTGTCTTGTGCATATTATTTAAAGGTGATGGCTACAACCTTCCATAGACATGACTAGAGTCCAGCATTTCGAAGGTCATGGTCAATTAATTATGCATTCCGGGAGAGAACCTACGGGGGCAAGCCACACGGCTCATGTGATGGAGTGGAGTCTTGAAATTATTAGTAGCGCATGATGTCGCACTAGTTTCCCCTCCCCCCTCCCCAACGCTCATAATGCTCGTGTAAAAACGTCATGAAAGTCTGGAGACCAGTGATGTCCCTGTCGCAACACATGGTTGCGAGAGATGCTAACCGCTAATGCCACAGGCGCACCCAGAGGGGCCCCACATGCAAGGGGTGAAGACTGTTTCTAGGAGAAGTCAAGTCAGTCGCAGTTGACTAGTCACTGTGGTTTATCTATCTCAGTGTCGGTGTGACAGGAGGGGGCGGGGGGGCTATTTATGAAGGACTTCTGGATTGTTCTCAGCGCTACCGATAAGGACTGATTCTGTCCAATCGTCTAGGGCTTACCTGAGGCTTAAGCAGCGTTTGAATCATGCCACATGCCTGTTCAGCCATTTCGAGTGGATACGCTCTGTCCCGGACAGACGCTCCTGGCCTCGTGGCCTGTTGCAGCGCTTGTGACCGGTCCCGAACGTGACGGGTCCCGCTCGTGACGGTCTCTTTCGTTACGGATTCCGCTCGTGACGGGTCCCGCTCGTGACGGTCTCTTTCGTTACGGGTTCCGCTCGTGATGGGTCCCGGTCGTGACGGGTCCCGGTCATGATGGGTCCCGCTCGTGACGGGTCCCGCTCGTGATGGGTCTCGGTCGTGACGGGTCCCGCTCGTGACGGGTCCCGGTCGTGACGGGTCCCGGTCGTGACGGGTCCCCTGCAAAGCGACGCCTCCGTCGGCTTCCTCTGTTGTACCACGCAAGGCATTGTGTAGAGGCCCATTCCCGTGGCTGACACGTCATTTGCGGTGCCGATCGGGCGTCCATTTGACCGGGTATTTCAATGGACGTAGCCACGGACCTCTTGGTGGCATTATGAGGACTTTTGAGGGCTCTTCGTGTCACCGGTGTCCATTGGTCTCCAACCAGAACGTCGGATTGGGTGGTTTGCGGGATTGGAGACGTCCGGTTCTATCTTGATGTGGCTGATGTACCTTGTCTATATGTACTTGAGAATAATGAAATCGTAATGCATGGATAGGCGGGGGTTTGCTGCTTTATCTTCGCATTAGCCATGCCCTGAAGTGACACCCGGCGTGGCATATTATAGATCATGTGTCTGTACATCCGCCCCCAGTAAGATCCTTGCGGCGGTCGCCCCCGCCGTCCTGAAATCGGGTCAGCTATAGGTGCCGATGTGCTGGATACTCCCGTCAGGTAATGTGTGCCAGGGGCCGGTAGGAGCTTTGTAAGACAATGGGTCAGTTTGTTTTAGATGTTTGCTGACTATACAGGCGTTGCTAGCTGGTCATGCACTGCCCTCTCGAGACAAACATGGTGCGGTAAGTAAGCAACGGGCCATATTAATGACAGCAAGTAGCGCTACCCGCAGCGAAACGACCACATCGGCTGCTCTTTTAAAGCACCTGAGCAAAGCCGAGGACCATTACCGAACGGGTGCAAGAGGTTCATTACCGAACGGGTGCAGGAGGTTTGTTACCGAACGGGTGCAGGAGGTTTAGTACCGAACGGGGTGCAGGAGGCTTAGTACCGACGAGTGCAGGAGGACCTACGGAACGGGTGGCAGACTAGGAGCTATCCGTGATATCCCAGCTGAGCTATCAGGAACCGTTCAGTCTGCCTCACGGCCCAGTCACTGTTAGTCGACACCCAGGATCACCCCACCCACCCCTGTCTGGCCCCCCCCCACCCCCCCCAGTGACCGCTGGAAGGCCTGACCTGAGCGCGGGGCTGGCTGGCCAACGGGTCGAGGCGCTAGAGTGGCGACTTACCGGCGGCTGAGTCCTCACCCGCCTTCCTGCCCCGACTTCGCCACACAACCAACGTCATCGCCCCGCACGTGTCCCCTCCATCGGCCGGCGAGGCCCTCATGTGTCCCTCCATCAGCCGGCGAGGCCCTCATGTGTCCCTCCATCAGCCGTGAGGCCCTCATTTGTCCCTCCATCAGCCGGCGAGGCCCTCATGTGGTCCCTCCATCAGCCGGCGAGGCCCTCATGTGTCCCTCCATCGGCCGCGAGGCCCTCATGTGTCCCTCCATCAGCCGGCGAGTGGCCCTCATGTGTCCCTCCATCAGACGGCGAGGCCCTCATGTGTCCCTCCATCAGTCGGCGAGGCCCTCATGTGTCCCTCCATCAGATGGCGAGGCCCTCATGTGTCCCTCCATCAGTCGGCGAGGCCCTCATGTGTCCCTCCATCAGTCGGCGAGGCCCTCATGTGTCCCTCCATCAGCCGGCGAGGCCCTCATGTGTCCCTCCATCAGCCGGCGAGGCCCTCATGTGTCCCTCCATCAGATGGCGAGGCCCTCATTCCGGCCGAACCTCCTCTGTCCTCTGCAGTCCGCCTAATCCACCCCCCCCCCCCCCCTTCCTAATGGCTCATTAATAAACCCGGCGTGGGGCCCACACCTTAGGAGGGGTTGGTACCTCGGAGTCGAGCTGGGGTGGGTGGGTGGGATGGGGGGGGGGGGGTTACCTAGCCGCCGTGGATGGTCGAGTCGGATCGCTAATTGCTCACGAGTGTACACGCGGGAGCGGCCGTGATTAAATGGGCGCTAATTAGACGCAGTACGGCTCCAGAGACGGATCAAAGCGGGGGCCGAGAAGGAGGGTGGGGGAGGAAGAGGGGGGGGGGGCGTTGTGCACCCGCTGCCGCGGGTCGTCCATCCAGTGGTGTGCACAGGAGGGGGGGGGGGGGGGGCATGGCCACATGCACGCCTCCGAACGAAGCACGGCGATCACCTGCACCCCGCCCACAGTTCGGTCGCCCTTACGCCTCCCCTTCTGTGGATGCTGCATCCGCCCCTGACGACGCGCGGCGGGCAGATGTTCCGAGACCACAAGGGCGTGCGAGCTTGCGCCGTATTATTCATCGTGACTCACTGCTTTTTTCTGTGGCGCTGGCCGCCTCGGTTATCAGAGGCAGCACTGGTTTGTAAGGTCATGGAGGTCTCGCGCGCTTCATCGTGGCGTGCCCTGCGGTAGCTATTCAATGAGCTAACAACATGCAAGACGCAAAGAGGTCTCATTAAGGCAGACCAGCCTTTCCAGGCGTGGGCTAGCACCAATGCATAACGAATGCCCCATTTCTTGCTGATGCCCGTCGGGTGTTGATAGCATGACTTGCGCCGCTTGCTTGTTCGTAATCGCCGCAGTAATTAGGTTTCATGCAGACCCGCAGGCCATTACTGTTCACGGTTACCGCGTCTGTCATCTGAACGGGATCGCTGCGGTCAAAGGCGCAGAACGGCAGATCCAAGCCGCAAAAGGTCTTTCGACTTGACTGCGATATGGCACGCTGCAGGGGTAAAACCTTGTCTCATTACGCAGCTGTGGGCGATTGATCAAGATCATGAATGTGCGTCATTGACCAGTTTCCTCTCCCGTCGTGTTTTCCCTGTGCTGGAGGCTGGGATACCCGCTTGCCATGTTACTCGCAAGCCATATAGCTGGCTTGCAATCTGATTTGACATTTGATTTCTATTACGGCCTCCCTGCCCGACACCCAACCGCGTATCCAAGGGGCGGTTGATACCAATTTGGCGTCTAGTGGCGAAAGGATACTGATGCTTTATGAATTCAAAGCAAAGGTGAAGGTCATAAGAAGACGTCTTTTACGGGCGAAATTGGAGGCAGCAAAATCCCCATCTTGTAAAAATTGCTGGACATGTCCGCCCCCAGTTCCCCGCCCCCAGTCCCCGCCCCCAGTGGTCACATTCATGTCCTTTGATATGATTTAGATCATGCTAAGATCGGAGTATGGTTGTGGGTCCCACTACAATCGTTGTTGTCGAGTAAGGACTCTTTCAACGGGAATGGCTCAAACCAGCAAGCAGCAGATTTGGACCTGAGGTTCCCATGCGGACGGGACCCACTCCGGCTGGTCGATCTAGATCCATCGGGTCACTCAGTGGGCCCATTCCGCCTGGTCGCTCCAGATCCATTGGGCCGCTCAGCGTATCCGCTCCGGCTGGTCGGTCCAGATCCACCGGGTTACCCACGCACTCGGATCGATTCGTCTGCCGAGCTGTCTGTGGCTCCGCGGGAAGCCGGCTAACGGTGGCCAACAGATGACCTCGGCTGGACGCCTGCGGGGCTTGACCTGGTGCCGCAGTGGCAGGTGGGGAGGGGAGGGGGTCGAGCCGCACTGCTGGGGTTTCGTCTCCCCACCCCTTTGCTTCCCTTCCTCCTCCAGACAGACAGGCTGGGACAGCTGCGCCTGTATCTGCGTCGCATCCTTTTACCGGTGTGTGCGCCAGGCGAGAGCGTGCGGCAGCGAGAAAGGTCGTGAAGGGGCGACGATGGGGAGTGATGGCCTGACAGGGCCGGCCGCCCTCGGAGAGTGTTGGAAAAACGACGCTGTCGTGACCTTTGAGTGTACATATTGTTGAAGAAGCTGAAGAGCCCGCCGATAGCAGACTCGTGTGACATCCGGGTCACGAGAGCCAACAAAGCGAGGCTGGGTGGATTTCATCACCTGCTCTTCGAGTGCATATGCCGTCATATCTTACTCGGACAACTTCTCCGAACAATGTCCCTCAGCCTCCCCCTTGCCCCGCCCCCCCCCCCCCCCCTCCACCGGTCACTCTCGAGTACCCTTTCAGAAAGCCGCCGGGGCTTAACAGGTCTGCCGCTTGGTCGGTGACGCACTCAATGATAGCCCCCCTCCCCTCTCCCCCCCCCCCCCGCCCGGTCGTCGGCGGCCGATGAGGGGCTTCGCCGTCCCTCCGACCGGCCGCGGCGGCGGCTCGGGGCAGGGGCGGGGTCATGACCTCTTGCCGACCTTTGCAGGCGGCCCCCGGCCAGCCCGGCCAGCCGTTCAAGTTCACTGTGTCGGACTCGTGCGACCGCAATCAAGGAGGAGTTCTCGTTCTGCAGGCGCAGTACCACAAGTGAGTGGACGCTGTCAGCTGGCGTGTCGGCGGCTCGTGGAGCGCCGACCACGCCCACTACGACCGCCCGCCGCCACAATGGGACGGCAAATGGGGTGTTGACGCCGGCGCGCGCTTTCAACAGGTTCGACGGACAAGTGCTGCTTTATCATGTAGCGCTACTCGCACGCCGGGAAAGTGCACGATGCTGATAATTGCGAGGGCCGCGGTATGTCCGCGGGCGTAACTGCACTTCACTGCCGGCGCGGCCGGCGCGGTGGGAAACCCTCGAATGACTGGCACATTGTCGTGCGATGCGGTGCACTAGTGCCCGTTTTTGCCGTCGCTTGACCGCCTCACGGGCTCGCCTAATGCAGGTCGTGATGTCCATCGCAGACGAGGGACTCGGTCAAGCGAAAAGTGGTGTAAACCAGTTTGGTTGTCGGCCAGGCAACCAACACGGGCAAACGATTTCGTATTTCTTTATAACACATTATTGAATGAATAACCGTGCACTTTAACGTGCTACAGATGTTGGAAAATTATGGATATATCATTCAAACGATCAAGTTTATGCCGTCGCTAAGGAGTTTCACAAGTTACACTTGTAGAGCGTATTTTTTTTTTCAGGGCGAATGGTCTGAAACTGACAGCAAGCCATAAAGGAAGGAGGCAGCAAAGTGCGGGCGCGGCGGGCCAATTAGTCAAAACTTCACATATCTCGTCGGGCCAAATAAGCTGAGCATTGTAAGCAATGCCAGTCACGACTAAAGCACTGAATAAGCGCGTGAATAGGGAAAACAGTATACTGCATGAGGAAGGGCTAAATTAGCGAACAATTGATAACTGCTGGACATTTATAATGCGTCCGATCACTGTTTAAAGACATCATTTGCCCCTTTGCAAATAGGCGAAACTGCAGATAACTTGCTGCTGTAGAAAACAGCTGTTAGTGAGGCTACTTCGAGCTGGAATGTTGAGAAGAGGAATGGCATTGGGGAAAGATCTTGTCGACTTCCACCGAAGTCGAACACCGAGTCATTTTCAACAAATTTTGAACAACGTGCTGAACATGTTTCACAACAGAGTGTGATGAACAATTTTAAATGCAATTCAGTTGCTGTTTTGAGGGAAGACTTGAACAAAGAGATCCCACCAGTAACCGGTGTTTGGCTATTAGTTTAGACTCAATGAAAGGTCGGGGGATACTTAAACTGATGGTGATTACGGGCTCTTGGCCAGTGCACTAAATCTTTTAAGGATTCATGCCATTTCAGCAGGTGAAATAATTGAAAGCATGCTTTTGAGGCTTTGATGTATGGTGAAATGTGGTGACCTGTTCTGAAGGATTTTAGAAAGAGAAAAAATTGTGAATTTTACACTGGGAGTCAAATCGGTCACTCTGCGGCCACACCACCAACATGCAAATTGTTGTCGGCGCGGACAAAACTCTGACATTGTTTGCATTTGATCCCACCGATGCTGAGTGACTAGCCTGACCCGAGTGGCGAACCTACGGCCGGCTCTCAGACGGCGTGGGTCCCCCGCCGGCCGGCCGGACCCTCCAGCGCCAGACGACCAAGTGAAGCTCTCTCAGGCAACGCGACCCAGCAGCTGAACGCTTCAGTTCTGCTTGATCGCTGCGATACTGCGCCGAATGCAGACAGCTGCTCGCTTCTGGCAGCCGAGAGGGTATCCCTCCCCTCCCCCTTCCCCCGAGCGTCATTAATTGGCTCGTGGTTGGCGCACGAGATACCAGCGCTCATCGAAGCGAGCCGCCTCGGGACCAGCGCTCGTCGAAGCGAGCCACCCCGGGACCAGCGCTCATTGAAGCGAGCCGTCTCGCGACCAGCTCATCGATGGAGCCGACCGCTCCCCCACTGTAGTCGCCGGGCACACATCCGTACCACGCACGTGCCGCCGCACGCGCCGCATGGGCTAATGTTCGCCATAGCACGTGCACGCGCGTGCGCACCAGCTGATTACGTCACTAATTACCGGTCGACCGGAGGCGGCGGCGACAGCCGCCGTATCGACCGCGTATATTATCGTCACGATTGACCTAAGCGGCGACAGGACGCTTTGTTTGACCAACTGGTCTGTGAGCGCCGCCGGCGTGCGCCGCGCGCCGCGTCACCACCCGCCGTGTCTGCCCCCCGGCATACCTGCGCGAGGACCGCCGGGGGGTGCCGCCCGCGCGCCGCGTCACCACCCGTCGTGTCTGCCCCCCGGCATACCTGCGCGAGGACCGCCGCGGGGGGTGCCGCCCGCGCGCCGCGTCCGTCGCTCGAGCTGTGGGTTTAGCAGCGTCTGTCCCGGCGCCCGGCGGGTCCGTTAATCGCGGGAAAACGTGCACTCGACAACGCAGACTTCCCGGAGGCGTCTGGCACGGGGCGGTTATTGGCTACCGCCCTGGGCTAGTGGGAGGGGTAGGGGAGGGGCGTGGCTTGGTCGTTTGTTGCTTTGAGTGTGGAGAAATATATCTCACACCTTGTCGGGATCAAACTGACCGGCAAACTGATAACGTATAGGCGCCACGTGACCCAAGAAGCTACTGTGGTTAGTCAGTTATCCCCATCATCTCCGAAGGTTCTGTTCTATCATCCATGATGGGACAGAACGTCTCCATCATAAACGTTCCGTTCCCCGCGATCTACTGCCTTCTGCTGAACCGCAATAACCGACCATAGTCGCTATTTTTCCTTCTGTATCTGAATACTCTTTTCTACCACAGTCATGGTAAACAAGGCCTTCTCTAAGCTGTTCCACCCAGTCTGCACAGCCTCGGACCAAACGGCGGTCCCACGCGGCCATCAGCGATAAACCACCGCCTGTCCTGCCCCGGCCCCACACCGGCCGTCACTGAGGCCTGCCCGGCCGCCGCCACTGAGGCCCACACCGGCCGCCGCCACTGAGGCCCCTCACCGGTCGCCACCACTGAGACCTGCCCGGCCGCCGCCACCGTGGCCTGCCCGGCCGCTGCTGAGGCCTGCCCGGCCGCCTCTGAGGCCTGCCCGGCCGCCGCCACTGAGGCTTGCCCGGCCGCCGCTGAGGCCTGCCCGGCCGCCGCCACTGATGCCTGCCCGGCCGCCGCCACCACCGTCGGGGCGAGATGCACCGCCGCCGCCGCCTGCTGCGGCGTCCCAGCTGTGGCCGCCCGGGTCAGGCGGCATAGGGACGGCCCTCCTGTCGAGGGCAAGGGGAGGGGTGCGGTCGAGGCGGGATGAGTCGGTGGATTCCGGAACAGGTGGAACTGACGACAGCTCTGGGCAGGGGGCCACGGGCAAGAGTAGATCCAGAACTGGACCGGAACCACAGTCAGGGGCAGAGTCAGGACTGTACAAGGGCCACGGACAAGGGCAGATTCAGAACGCTCCTTTGGGTGACAGTCTCCGGATTAGGGGGAGGGGCAATTAAATAGTGTTGTGATTTGCAAAAAGGCATCTAGTTGTGCCTTTTGTGGAAATAAGTGGAAAGTCACAGCAAAGCGCGAATATGAGTTTGCATGTGGTGACTCCAGCCTGTCGTCCCTGTGGCCGCCCGCTGTGTCGCCCCTGTCACCGCCCTCTGTGTCGCCCCTGCGGCCGTCCACTGTGTCGCCCCTGTGGCCACCCTCTGTGTCGCCTCTGTGGATACCCGCTGTGTCGCCCCTGCGGCCGTCCACTGTGTTGCCTCAGTGGCTGCCCGCTGTGTCGCCCCTGCGGCTATCCACTGTGTCGCCCCTGTTGCCACCCGCTGTGTCGCCTCTATGGCTGCCCGCTGTGTCGTCCCTGCGGCCATCCGCTGTGTCGCCCGCTGTATGGCCCCTGTGGCCTCCCGCTGTGTCGCCCGCTGTATCGCCCCTGTGGCCGCCCGCTGTGTCGCCCGCTGTGTCGCCCCTGTGTCCGCCCGCTGTGTCTCCCGCTGGCCCGCGTCGCCAGGCCTGCTCAGCTATGAGCGGCCCGTGTAACCGATCCGTCCGTCAATACCGTCAATATTTGAGAGCCATATTTGCGCTGAATAAACTACGGGCGTGCGTTTTTGCAGGCAGGCCGGCTGCCGCTGCCTGCCTGCCTGTCTGCCGGTACTCCTCCGTGATTGGTCGGTTGGGGAGAGGGCTGCCAGCTTCACCAGCGTTTAGATGCTTAGGTTTCGGCTGCCGCTTCTGCAGCGTCGCGGTTGCGTTATTGGCGCGCGTGTCACTAGCACTTGCAGATTGCGGGAATCCATGCGTAGTGGCAACGCGCACCGGAGACTGAAAGGAAGCAGGCATTGGTCATTTCTGATTTCACTAAAATCAGAATTCACCCGCACGTTCGGCTCAAACAGCGACGCCCCGACGCTGCCTCCCCCCCCCCTTCCCCCCGTCGTTTGTTCCTGTCAACGCCCCTGCGCTGGGGCGGGGGACAGGCGCGGCGGACGGGCTGTATTCATGCGGTCGGCGGCATAAAAGAAACGGACGCCGCGCGGCTCCTGATTAATTGCTGTTCGTGCCGACGGCGTCGCAGGGTATCGCCAGCCCCTCGGCTTTGTTCGGGCCGACCCATCGTTTGCTTTTGTTGGGAGTGCGGAGCTGGCGGTGGCCCAATACACAGGCCGCGCGCAGCCCGAGCGGCGCGAGCAGCCGTCAATGGCGCTATGGGCGGGCCGGCTGCTATTGATGCGAGCCCCGGCTGACGCCCGGGAGCGGGGTGCAGTCGCGCTCTGACAGGTGCTTGACCAGTAACCGTCGCTGGGCCGGCGGCCCCCTGACTCGGACCCAAACTCTAGAGGGCCAGTTGGGCTGTTTTGGGGTGTGGTGTTCGCACGCATGGATGGCATCAGGCGGCAGAGTGGACCTGACTCAATCTGTGTGAAATGCACCTAACTACGCCCGCGCGCTGCCGGAGTAACACGGCTTGATGTTAAGCTTCGAGTCATTCGTGCTTATTTGCATTAGATGCACATGTATTATGCTTCGAACCCACGTCCATTTAACACGTATTGCCACGAATAGAGCATTCAAGCATGGCTCACCACTTGTCAAAGTCGACCACACATATTGCCGGCGAGAGGGATGACACTTAACGGTTTTAACATCCCACCGAGAACTTATCAAGCACCAGCCGCCACCTCTGCACTCAGCGCCTGAGCCGACCGCCCGGCCCACCACCGCGGACCGGAACAGCCGCCTCCCTCCCGCCCGAACTCATCGGAAAGTTCGGCGCCCATTACGCGCAGTCGGGCGGCTGCGTCTGCCGCGGCCGCCGCGGCCGGCCCGCCCGGCCCCGCCACACCCCGAGCGGCCGCCGCCGCGTGAGACTCCTCCGACTTATCCCCCCCCCTCCCGGAGCTGCGCTGAGCTGCACGGCTCTTGAGAGCCCGCTCGGCCCGGCCGGGCCCGGCTGTCATTCGCAGAGTCGGCGGGGCGCGCCCGAGCTCCCGAGCTCCCGAGCGCTCGAGCTCCCGAGCTTCCGAGCGCTCGAGCTCCCGAGCGCCCGAGCTCCCGAGCTCCCTAGCGCCCGAACGCCCGAGCTCCCGAACGCCCGAGCGCCCGAACGCCCGAGCTCCTGAGCGCCCGAGCTCCCGAACGCCCGAGCGCCCGAACGCCCGAGCTCCTGAGCGCCCGAGCTCCCGAGCGCCCGAGCTCCCGAACGCCCGAGCTCCCGAGCGCTCGAGCTCCCGAGCTCCCGAGCGCCCGAGCTCCCGAGCGCCCGGGCTCCCCGCCCCGCCGCGCTCTGCCGTCTGACGAGTGACGGCGAGCATCATCCGGTCGTGTCGGGCTGGTGTTGGGTCCAATACACGAGGTGGCACGTACTGTCTCCTGGTCCGTCATCAGGCGGGCTCGATCCGGCTTCCTCCAATCCGTGCAGTCCCCTGCCAGCCTTCCTCTGTCCGTGCAGTCCCCTGCTAGCCTTCCTCAGTCCGTGCAGTCCCTGCTGGCCCTCCTCCAGTCCGTGCAGTCCCTGCTGACCCTGTCCCCCGTCCGTGCAGTCTCTGCCAACCCCTCCCCAGTCCGTTTGGTCCCCTGCTAGCCCTTTCCCAGTCCGTGCAGTCCCCTGCCAGCCCTGCCCAGTCCGTGCAGTCCCCTGCTAGCCCTGCCCCAGTCTCACTTTCGCGCTTCGCCTCGGCTCGAAGCCGAGAAGCTCTCTCTCGTTCCAGCTTCGGCGGCGTCCGCTCGCGCGCCGCCCAGAGCTCGTTCGTCTCCGGTGCGCTCGTCGGGCCCTCCCCAGGGTGGCCCTGCTGAGGGCCCTCGAGCTCTCGTTCCGCCGCCGCCGGGCGCGGCGGGGAGGGGAAGGTCTCATCGTTCACGGCCGGCCGCGCCGCCGCCGCTCCCGATAACGACACGGCCTGTCGGTCGGCGATGATTTTCCGGCATCTGAGCACCTCGGTATCGACCGCGGCTCCCTCTTCCGGCCGCATCTCATTGGCGCTCCCCTCCCCCGCCGCCGCCGCCGCCGCCGCCGCCGCCGCCGACACCGCGCGCGGCGTTTTTCATCGACCACGCGCTCCGCGCGTCCGACGCGTCGACCGCGTCCAAGGGTTAACCGAGGACGGACCTCAGTATTAATTGAGCGCGTGGAGCGACGGGCACGGCACGCACCACACCCCTAGGGACCGCGCCGGGAGGGGCGGGCAGCATGAAAATTACAGCGGCAGGATAATTTGTTTACGGCGCAAATGATTGCAGCCGAGCCGGCACGCTATTGTCGTCACCATTGTTGTGAATAATTGAGAGCGCGGAGGACGGGCCCGGCGGCACGGCTGCGTCGTAATGGCCGGCTAAAGTTACCCACACCAGATTTGCCGCGGCAATGGCGGCGCGCACGTGCGTCGGATTAAGCGCACTGGCGCGTGATCACAACGGCTGTGCGCCGAACTCCACCCCTTGGGAATGGGAGGGGGGGGGGGAGGCTAGGCCGCCAATCCCCGTCACCCATCCGCTCCGTGTCCTTCCGCTCTGGGGACTCCCAGCGGCTGCGAGGGCCCCCACGCGGGGAGGCAATACAGAGATGGGCGTCATGCAAGGCAGAGGACAAATGACTGGGTACAGGCACGGCGCGCTGCCCGCTCGCCAAACACGAACCTGCCGGCCGCTATTTCGGCCGGTGATGGACGGGCCGGAAGCAGGGTGGCGCAATGGCCGTGTGTTTGCCGACGCGGATTAGCTCTGCCCGTGTCAATAATGAGGGCGGAAGCAGCGAAGCGGCGCCGGGGCTCCCGACCGACGGCGCCCAACGAAGCCGACAAGTTCGCCGCCAGATGGTGCTGATGGCGCGCGCGGGCGGCTGCTGTTTTCCGGCGAGTGGTGAAGGCTCGCCCGCCGCCAGAGACGGAAAAACAGAGGGAGGAGCGCGGCGAATGCCAGATGACCGGGGCCGTTTTTCTTGCGGCGTAGGATAAGATCCAGATTAAGCTGAAGAATTCTGTGGCCAACTCAGGTCCGAAGGGACGTTGACTTTTCTGAGGAATCTTGGAGAGGAGAATGGAAGTCGAATACCGCCCAGACATAATGGGAAGATGGGTAGTGCGATTGAGGCGAGATATCCATGAAGTGCGTCCACCATTTTGGTGCTCCTTTGAACAGGTCCCCTCCGTCATGGAAAGAAAGGCAGTCGAGCGCGAACGATAAGGTGAATTGAATATGTGCGAGTGAATCCTTGTTCCATTCAGATGTTAGATGACCATAAATGTTTCTATCAGCCTCATCGGGCCTCCCATTATTGTATTTTCAGTTATATCGCGGGTTAATGATGGGGTCTACGGTTGTGCCGGTGGTAACCGCACGGCGGCCATATGCCTTGGTTTTGTGGTGTGATGGGCCTTTTACAATAGGCCATCCCACCTAACCAATTCCTTGATAACTTCGGCAGTCCATGCTCGAGGGGTGGAAGATTTGTGACCAATCGATTTATTGGCACCCTCCAGTTAAAGAATTGCCCAAACCAGCCACAGTCACCATTCCCTTTATCACATTTGCGCAATTACTTTTGCACCCTCTCCCTTCCTCTACTCGGCCCATCCTAATGATTAATTTCGTCATCGGTTTACTATTTCTCTTCCGACAGGGGTTCAGTCTCCCCTCCCGCCGCCGTCTGCCCCTCCATCCTCCCCTCTAAATCAATTGCGCGGACAGCCTTGAGAGGCCCTGATTAACTATTTTTCCCTGTATGTGCAAAGTTTTGTCCCGCATCCCTCCCTCGTCAACCCTCGTCAAAATCGCGCAATCTTCCCCATCTCCCCCTCACGCTGAGTAGGCTTTCCTCGCCTGTAAAGCGAATGGGAGAATAACGGCGTTGGTTGGGCTGCACCAACGCGTCCCAGTGGCGCCACCAGCGTGGCATACGCGAACATGACGAGCACGCGACGAACACGGACGCTCTGCCCGATACCCACCCGCCTTCAGCGCACCACGCCGCGTTGTGCTCGGACCGCTTCGAAAGTGCCGGCGAGCTGTCTCCCCGTGGCAGAGCTGCGTTTGACTGTCGCGCGCGACACTCTGGTTTTAATTGGCAACACCCACACAGCCCGCCATTTCATTGATCTTTGTGTGAGCCGCGCGAGGCCGCCCGTCGGGCACCTCCATTGTGAAGAGACGGCGCCGCGCGCACGCAAGGCGGTGATTTCATTCATTGTGAGCTACCACCGGCGATCCCATCTCGGTAATGGGCGCCCCTGTCAGTCAAACGCCTTTGTTGAGTCTAGTCCGCGTTTGAACTGATTGCATCCTCTTTCCGCAGCCTCAAGCTGGAATGCGAGAAGCTTGCCAGCGAGAAAATCGAAATCCAGCGCCATTACGTGATGGTAAGTGTTTGTTCGCGTGTCGTCGTTGTGGGGTGTTCCGAGGGCTCCAAGGAAGGGAGGGGGGCGCAGTGGGGAAGCCCTGATGCCGACCGCGTCGCTGCGTGATCAATCGTGCTGACAGGCGTCTCGCGCTCCAGACACGCGCGCCGTGTACCAGCCGCTAACATAGGCGACAACTAAGGCAGGCGCAATCCAAGCACGTGTTGTCGGCAAGCAATATGCATGTGATGCCGTTGAAGATTCCTGTCGTGATAGATGAATTGCAAGTATGTTGAAAGCAGCCATTTCCCTCAGATTTGTATGCATTGTTTGATATAATACGCATACAAAATATATTTGAGAAGCATTGTCAGCGGTCTCTGAGATCCAGGTGTCGAAGGCATTTCGGTGACTGGTGCACCATTGAGAAAACACCCTTTTGGCTGCCAAGATGCTACAAATTTACTAAATTTGAGGTGCGTTTCGTCTTGCTTCGTGTGTTCCGTGACCCACGTCGCACGCGTGTTCGAATGTATGCTGGCGTCGACCCAGGACAATGGTATCGCAAACACTCACGGAGTCAGCTGCTCGCCAACTCGCCTTCCGTGTTAGTAAAAATCTCGCCCCCCCCCCCCCCTACACTGACCCCCGGGGGGACCTGATCCGGCCACCGGAGGAGGCTTTGACGGCAGAAGCGAGGCCGAGTGATGCCCTGGATGAACCCAGACGCTGATCTGTGGGAATGGCTGCCGTCATATCACTCATCCAGCTTACTTTGATGGCCTGTTTTGATTCGGAAAAGACGTGCATGCCTCATTCATATCGTTGCTGATTTAGAAAGCTCTCTGGGCGTATTAATCGCTGTCGGCTTGTGCTGTTGATTGGATCATCATCAGGCCGTGCTTGTGCAGACGACGAGACAGTCAATATTTCTCTGTCGTTATTCTTGCAGCGTAGATACTACACACACTATTTGTGTGTGCCACAAGCGTATTTGCATGTCCTGTTTGTACTTCGAACGTCCTATTTCCTTTGGATAGACGGGATGATTTGTCTTTTTTCTCTCTCTCTCTCTCTCTCTCTCTCTCTCTCTCTCTCTCTCTCCTCTATCTTCTCTCTCTCTCTCTCTCTCTTCTCTCTCTCTCTCTCTCTCTCTCTCTCTCTCTCTCTCTCTCTCTCTCTCTCTCTCCTCTCTCTCTCTCTCTCTATCTCTATCCTCTCTCTCTCTCTCTCTCTCTCTCTCTCTCTCTCTCTCTCTCTCTCTCTCTCTCTCTCTCCTCTCTCTCTCTCTCTCTCTCTATATCTCTCTCTCTCTCTCTCTCTCTCTGCTCGCTCTCTCTTCTCCCATCTCTCTTTCCCGTCTTCGTCCTTTCCTTCATTCCTCATTCCCTCTCTCATGTGAGGTCATGAACCCCTCACTTTTAGTCTATGGCGGCGGCCCGAACAGTGGCAGCATACACGGCAGCCAGCACTCCCGCCGCTGTGCTGGGCCGATGAAATACACTCTCAGTGACAATGAGCAGCTTTGTGGGCCAAAAACAACAGCAGACGGGACCTGGGCAAAGAGGCGCATGTGCTCTATGCAGGTTGTCTTTGCTTGGCGTAAGGCGGGCACTTCAGCACAGGATGGCAATCTTGTGCCGTAAGTTAAAAAAAAAACGAGTTCCAAGGTACGGAATACAAATATTGCTGTCAAAGTCCCTTTGCGATGTACCCTGGGAGTTCATCGTGTGTCTACTGAAACAAGTCAAAATCCCTTGTAAAGGTCATTTGTAATATGCGCTGGGCACTGGGCTGTGGGCGGGGCCAAATGCACGTTAATGGCACAAAGGCACAAATGTGACACACTGCGGGGAAGTTCACGGAAGTTCAGACAGCTCATAAATGAGAGATCAGATGTTGCTAGGGATCTCCGTGCTGGGCGTTGCGTCCAATTTGGGGACGGAAATTATCCCATATGACGCCTGCTGAAAATCGAAGGGGCCGAACGTGACCTGACTGGTCTGAACTGACCTGGCGTGTTGTTAGCTCCCTCGCTTTGCATGTCTCTCGTGGCCGTGAAAAATTGGGATCAATATTGAACAGAAGCGTCCGCTCACGTATAACGGAGGACAACGTCTATTTGCAGGTAATTCTCACTTATCACGTTCACTTGTCACTTGCTCGAACGTGTAACGGAGATGGACCTTCACGTACAGTCGCTTGTCACGTGTCACGTTCGCTTATCACATTCACTTGTCACCTGCTCACACGTGCAGCGGGGGTTGGCGTTCGCTCACCGTCGCGTGTCGCGCCCGGGCCCGCTGGCGCTGGCAGTGACCCTCCCGGGCCTCTGTTTTCAGTACTACGAGATGTCGTACGGCTTGAACGTCGAGATGACCAAACAGGTGAGCCCGCCCACATCCCCCCCCCCCCCACACTCCCCACCTCACCCCCATTCTGATCCCTCCCCCTCCCCGAGGACGCATCGTTCTCCGTGTCCAGCTGTTGTGCATCTGGTGCTTGGTCACTGCCTCGATCCTGCAAGGCGTGGCCTAAGGTCACTGCCTCGATCCTGCAAGGCGTGACGGACGATTGCACGCGTCCCGGAGCGGCGATGCGCATCTCGACCATGCTGTGTGTGATATGGATTGCAGAGCGCAGGCGTTAGCAGGTGTCCCTCACCGCTCATGTTCTGCTCTGGCCACGGATGATGGACCAGAGGTTTTATCCGACTAAGTTTGAAATTGGTGGGACATGAGTTGAGTAAAATCGCTTCAGTGTGCGGTGAACAGAGGCGCGCGTCACCGCCTCAGTGTGCGGTGAACAGAGGCCTGTATCACCGCCTCAGTGTGCGGTGAACAGAGGCCTGTATCACCGCCTCAGTGTGCGGTGAACAGAGGCCTGCATCACCGCCTCAGTGTGCGGTGAACAGAGGCCTGTATCACCGCCTCAGTGTGCGGTAAACAGAGGCCTGTATCACCGCCTCAGTGTGCGGTAAACAGAGGCCTGCATCACCGCCTCAGTGTGCGGTGAACAGAGGCCTGCATCACCGCCTCAGTGTGCGGTGAACAGAGGCCTGTATCACCGCCTCAGTGTGCGGTGAACAGAGGCCTGCATCGCCGCCTCAGTGCGCGGTAAACAGAGGCCTGCATCACCGCCTCAGTGTGCGGTGAACAGAGGCCTGCATCACCGCCTCAGTGTGCGGTAAACAGAGGCCTGTATCACCGCCTCAGTGTGCGGTGAACAGAGGCCTGCATCGCCGCCTCAGTGTGCGGTAAACAGAGGCCTGCATCGCCGCCTCAGTGTGCGGTGGATAGAGGCCTGCATCACCGCCTCAGTGTGCGGTAAATAAAGGCCTGCATCACCTGCATCACCGTCCATCCGCGCATTGAACACTTCTAGACTACGACATGACTTCATGTCTCCAGTTTGAAAGCCTCGCGTCTGCAGTGAACCCATCGGGCCGCGTGCAGTATGCATACAGCTCCAACAAATGTAAGTCGCTTTCGCCAGCGGTTCCCCTCGCTGCGGGTCGCGTGCGCCTCCTTCGTTGCCTGTTGAGAACATTTCGAACCAGCTTTAATCAGCTGGATCAGTCACGCTCGAATGCGGTCCAGCATACAGCATACCACTTCCACGTAAATTGTAATTCCGGCTCATAATTCTCCGTTCTCGGCCGTATTTTATCCTATTCATAGGCATGTCAATTTGCAGGCCGGCATGACATTGTCGGCTCCCCCGCCGGCTTTGTTCAGCTCGACGGTGAGTTAGTAATTAAAGGCATCACGAGAATTCGGTTGAAATGTCATCCTATTAATAACACACCCTCGCCAAATAATCACCGTTAATTAAAACAGACTCGGGCCCGCTCTGCTCAAACGTAATGCCTGCTTGTGGATTGGCATCGTCGGAGTTTGACTGAAGTGGCTTCTGAGGCGGTCTCAAGAACACGGAGTTTGAGTGAGATGGCTGCAGGGGCGGTCTCAGGGTCACGGAGTATGAGTGAGATGACTGCAGGGGCGGTCTCAGGGTCACGGAGTATGAGTGAGATGGCTGCAGGGCGGTCTCAGCGTCACGGAGTTTGAGTGAGATGACAACAGGGGCGGTCTCAGGGTCACGGAGTATGAGTGAGATGGCCGCAGGGGCGGTCTCAGCGTCACGGAGTTTGAGTGAGATGGCTGCAGGGGCGGTCTCAGCGTCACGGAGTTTGAGTGAGATGACTGCAGGGGCGGTCTCAGAGTCACGGAGTTTGAGTGAGATGGCTGCAGGGGCGGTCTCGGGGTCACGGAGTTTGAGTGAGATGACTGCAGGGATGGTCTCAGGAACGTAAAGCTCGAGTGAGATGGCTGCAGGGGGTGTCTCAGGAACACGGACGGACCGAAACGCGCCGAACTGGCAGACCGGCCGGAAGGTCTGTCAGTGGCGGTCCCAGGAGCACAGCTGCGGAGGTCCTCACGGCCGACGCGGGCCGACGGCCTGTCAGAGGTGCCCACTCACACACACCGCCAGGAACAACCGCACCAGATGGCTCGTTACGAAGCATGTCTTGCCATGTGTTACTGTCTGGCAGTTGCGTTTTCTCCCTCCAGCTGCGTCAACAGAGTGGTCATGGGGCAGAGGATGGCTGGTGGCCAGACCTTGTTTTACGGGGCGTCTGGTCTGATCAGTGAGCGGTTTCGGCGCGCCCCATGGACTTGAGCGCCATATTCGGTTGGGTGCTGACCCCGTTAGCAGCCAACGGACAGCCAAATGGCTGCCATATTTGGATTGCTTTACCACGGCTGTTATTAAGTTTGAAGCATCTGATATCCAATAAGAGGCAGCTTTGAATGGAGCTTTCGGAACATTCAGCGGGAGCCTCCTCAGATTGAAGCTGGGTGATCAATCCAGTCGGTCTGTGACTTGATTTGCCCTCGATGCACAATTTTCTCAGAATACATATTCATGCGAAGGGCAGCCACCTAGAGTGGTAAACAGACGTTCATAGTTAAGCAACCACCGAATGTCGAGGCACTCATCAACACATTCCTCCTGACAGCTTCGCAGGCGCCAGCTCCACACTATTTTGCGCTGCCTTATGTCACCTGTGATAACTTGCCGAACACCATTTTGATAGAATCACATATGAACGCGCGTTTGGTCTGTTAGCTGCCTGATGCGTGGATGAATGTTGGAAAGTGGAGTGGGCCTGCTTGCGATGTTGTCCCTGATCGAGAGGATAAGGGTTTAAACAGCTGTATGCTTGTTTAAACTGCTGCAGTTGTGAGTCAAGCTGTAGTTGCAGCTTCCTTCTGATCTCTAGACGCGTGTAGGACTGCCACTTATAAGCTCCATTGTTTCGAAGAGTTTGGTGCTTGCGCAAGTGTCTGGATTTGTGGACGACTGCCTCATAATGTGAGCTTGTTTAACTATGCGCTCGAGTGAACTGTTGCAGGTGGATACGGTTTTTTATTACGTTTTTCTTTACATGCATAACACCTCCGGGCAGCAGGTGCATAGAGAGAAGCTGATTTGTAAACTGTCTAGACTTTTCGCCCTATTAGATTCTTAGGCCACTTGATAGAACGAAAGTTCGTTGTAAAACCTGCTATTTAATTCTCTTAAGTGCCTCATGCTCAACCATTTGTGCACTTCAGCCTGGGAAAACGTCCTTTAATCATCAAATCTGTCAGCACCGCCGCTGCGCCGTGGGGCATCCCAATCCTGGCATTCCGTGCAGGCATCGACCGCAGAAAACAGCGCTGGGCGAGTGGCTGGCCGGCTCTCGCGCGCCGCCCACACCCGCGCGACGATCCGTCGAAATCCGCCGTCTCCGCCGCGTGTCGCCAAAAATAGTGGCGGGAAGTGGTGCGCAGCGCGGCCGCCAGGGCGGCGCCACCGCCCGCCGGCCCAGTTAAATCGTCGGCGCCGACTGGAAATGTTGAACAATCATTGATCTGGGGCCGCGTCGGACCGGCAAACCAATCATAGGACTCTATATCTATGTGGTCGTTGATTGCTGATCAATACTGGCGTCAGGCGGCGGGGGAGAGGGTGCAGAGTGAGGGAGGGCGGCGCGGAGAGCCGCCATCGGCGACGCCTTCAAACGCGCCCACAATGGTGTAATTGATATTGGCTGTTCCCGTCGAGCGCTCCCGAAGGGTCGATCAAGATGGCGCCCGGAGATGATAATTCCGTCCTCGACGGCCAATCGGTCGGCGGTGAAAGAGCGCACGAGAGCGCGCGAGGACCCGTCCGGAAGTGAGGGGAGATCAGGGCGGCGAAGGCGGGCAGGGCTGGGGAAAGGGGGGGGGGCGGGGCGGTGGGTAGGGCAGGATTGGGAAGGGAAGGGGAGTGCCAATCAGAGGAATGCCCAGGTGAGACAGGGTTGGGTGGGAAGTACTGGTCCGCACCGTTTATTTGGGCCGAAGGGAATCGAGTCAGGAAGCTTCGAGAGCGAGGGCTTCTCTTTGAAGGCGTAACTCCGCACGCATGAACGACGAAAGGCCATAAGTGAGGCTTTCCTCCGAGCATGAGTCGTCCTAGTTGGGCCACTTCCAACTAACCTGAAGAGGTCTTTATCTTTGGTCTCACTCTGGGCCGGCGTCGTCATCCTTCGAAGAGCTGATAGTAGGGCTCTCAGCCCTCAGAATCCATCTCCGTCGGCTGCGTTCACTCTCTCCGGCTTTTCAGGCTTAGAGTGGACTCAGACTGACCTCCTGGTCGTACTGTCGCACCCTGATTGGCTAACCCTGACCCCACCCTCCTGCTCTTCCTGGCTCTGCCTTTTTTACCCGTCAGCTTCTTCTGACTGGTCAGCTTCTTCTGATTCTGCCTTACTCTCAGATCCTTCTGACTGCCGACGCTGACCCTGACTCACTCTGAATATCAGATATTCCCTACCTCTACGGGGCCCTGCGTCTCCGACCCCGCGCCTCTGACGCCGCATCCGACCCCGCACCTCCCGGTCTCCGCCGCTGGCGCCGCCTCTGCCGCGCTCGCCAGCCGCCGGCGTGTCCATGTTTACACCGGCTGCGGATCTGTTAGCTGGGCCGTGTTGACGCAGCGCTGTCAACTCGCCACTAATGGCGCCCCACATACACCTCGGCCGCTGGCGCAGCGGCGCGCCCAGCAACACCACCTGGGGAAGCGACAATGTGCGCCACTGCGTGTCGAGCACCTTACCGGCTGATAACATGGCGATTTTTCAATCATGCGTTCTGGATTGGACACATGATTTGCTCACAAAACGACTAATTTCCTTTCATCCTAAAGCGATGTCGACAGGATTGGTTTGTTGTGATAGGTGGTAGGTCTGACGATAACGGGCTCACAGGCGCCTCCCTTGGATCCCGCCCTGGGCGCGCCGCTGCGCCGGGAGCGGCATCGGTGGCCCGCCGCGCTCCCGACTCTGTGGGAGCCGTCA